ATTCCTGCTTAATGTATTCCTATTTAAAGGATATTCAATTATATTAGAATGAATAAGAATGCAATTTAAAAGCCCAGTTAGACTTTACACTTAAAACATATACACAGCAACTGCAATTCATTAAGATGGAAAAACTTGCTTTTGTTATAACAGGGATGCCCAACCTATGTCCAGCAAGCTAAACACAATCCATGAGTAAAATTTCTCTTCCCTGACAAGAGGTATTCTGGCACCTTCCCCAACAGCCGCTTGGCTACGGAAATGCCAATCTCATCCCATGACAAGACAGCTGATTGTCTGTAGGGTGGGTTCAAATCCAGGCCAAGCACAACAGCTCACACAGAGGCACTCGTGCAGCCACAGGACAGAAGAGGTGATCTTATACAACCTGGAAATGCCTCTACAATAATCTAGGTGATAGATCCTGGCAGAGAAGTTGGATGTAGCTGCACTACAACTGAGAGTCACACTAGATCTTCGTTTAGTACACCAGTCTCAGAAAAAAAGATACTGGAAACAGTATTAAGTAAAGCCTACAAGGTCACACACCTAAAAATGAATGATCAAAACTCAGTTTTAGGTTTGTTTTGCTTTTAACGAAAATGGCTTAACTGTTGGCAATGGTAACAATATGCATTTCTCTCTACTGTAACATACCTATCCTGAAGTAACCATCCTCTAAGCGTTTGTCTTTGGTTTCTTTGCTTAATACCAGTTCTTCACTCTAGACAACAAAGCACAAATGAGATCATTTATGTTGACATATGACTTTGCCAGGGGAAGACAAATGTGTGCGCGCTCTTGTTATATATTCAGCATCCATCTTTTCTAAATAATTATGAACCAGCCTAGAATAGTTATTTATAGCCTTAGACAAGCCAATACAAAAAAAGAAAAAGCAGCAGTGTTCCAGAACTGAACGGTATTTGGCTTCAAAGTAGAAAAAAGAAGTACTTTAAGTGCCCCACGTAACTTGCATGTTGACTGCCACGTGAACAGAATACATAGCAGATACTGGCATACACAGTAGAAGAAAAGCAAAGGTAGGATCTTGTCGCCTTTTCCTATGGTTGAACCAGAGACTTCTCTCAGGACAAATGAAACTTACAGCTTACTTTTTGAGGTAAGAATTTGGGCGAGATGAAAAGCCATCAGACCAGGAAGGGAAGCATTACAATTATCACTGCCTTTCTAAAAAGGGATGGGTATCAAAGAGTTTCTTTAATAAGCACAGAAAAATGAGATTGTAGACCAGAGCTTCAAAAACAGCTGGAAAATTACAACCAGAATCACATGATCCAATACTAAAAGACCCACTGTAAGAATTTCCTAGGAATCAATTAAAAATGCTTGATAAAACAGGAGATTAAATCCATCAGCTTTTTTTTTTTTTTTTTTTAAATTCCTACTTTTAAGGGAGGCTGCTGAAAAAGTGGTGGGTTTTTGTTGTTTTGGAGAGTTTTGGGTTGGTTAGTTGGTTTCGTTTGGGGTTTTTTTGTTTAGTTGGTGGGGTTTTTTGTTTAGTTGGTTGGGTTTTTTGAGTGTGTTGCTTGAGTCCCAGACAAATCCAATCTGGGGGCACTCTGGTTTCTAAGGGTTGTTTTTTGTTTTTCTGAATTCTGCTTAGGGAGGATCAGGGTCAAAGTACCTGAATGGGCTTCCAGCTCTACTGAAGTCCATGGTGGAGAAATCGTTCCCTCAGGACACTACCTATCATTCTGCAGCTGCTGTCCTCATATTGGTGACATTTTCTGCTGACACCAATGGCTTAGGAACAGGCCAGATGCAGAATTTCCTGTTTACCTTTCCACAAATTATTTCAATAGCAATGGAAACTCGGTAGCATTACTTGCTTATAGGATGCTCCAGTTTGAGCAACATTTCACAGCCAAGCATAGCCAAAAAAAGAGATGCTTGATGCACATTTTTTCTCATTATCTTGTGCGTTCTTGTGGTATCTCGGACCCAGATGAAGTGAGGACTGCTGCTGCTTTTGCAGTTGAATATATTTCCACAGGTCTTAAGAAACAAAACCCGTAAATCTTATAATATGATATAATACCCCACATATCTTGTTGTATAATTAGAATCAAACTGACAAACTTCTTTTTAGGGGTGAGGGTGGTCAGAAATTCCTATTTTTGCTCGCTCCCAGGAAGAGCAGACTGCAAGAATGGAGAAGTGAACTCCTCCACGATCATCTAATCTACTTTTTTTTTTTACAAAAAAGAAGGAAAAAAAAAAAGAAAAAAAAAAGAGATTCGGTAAGAGATATGGTAATTTAGGCACAGATTTCAAGATACCTACACCAGGTGTATGGGAGAAGGTAGAAATACTTTGCTATTTTAATACTAAATTAAACAAACTTGTCTGAAATAGTATCTTAATCCTCTGATAGAGTTTTGTGATATAAATGGTTAGCTATAATATCTAGTTGAAGAAAAAGAACCCAAAGAACTCATATCATCTGGCTTCAAGCAAGAATATACTTTAGAGAGTGTAGTGCCCTCCTGAGATAAAACTCAGACTGATTTATGGGGGAAAAAAAAAAAATCGGTAATCAGGAGAAAGGAACACATTCGGTTTAAGAGTCCAGATATTTCAATATGTAGTAAGGTTTGGATGTGTGTCAATTCCTGAACCAAGACTTTTTTACTAAGTCAAAAAGCAGATTGACTTCACTTTCCCACTTTCCAAAATACACGGGAGAGGGAAGACTGGGGTTTTTTTGTTTTAAATAGTAGCAGTAAATTGGAAGAAAAAATGAGCTTGTTCACCTCCAAATTACCAACAGGACTTGTAGCAGACTGCACTCTGAATGAACATCTGAATAGTTACAACAGTTTTCTGTTAATAGATCCAAGTAAAAAAAGTATGAGAGCATCAGAGCATCAAGATCCTATAGTTAAAAAAAGAAGTATTCATGTTTCCCTCACCCTGTTAAAAATGTCAATAACATTAGGAGATTTTGCTTTTATCCTATAATGGAGAAGACACAAATCAATAAATTCATACCTGAAAAGGCAAAACTTCCACAGTTGTGTTTAGAAGTATGTCTCCTGGGTGCTCTGGATTGCCACTGTGAAACAAGTACCTATAAATGAAAAGCGAAAAATAAAACAGTCTACATACATCAGTCAGAATTAGCTAAGTTACCATCTTACATGTTAAAGAGTCACATTACGAATGTCAGAATGATAAGTGTAACTTTTATATTGGACCTACATCAGCTGGCGATAAGAAATGAAAGATGGTTTCACATACTACCGTAATTGAAAGGGCTAAAATTTTGCATTTTTTAAAGAGTAGTTGGGCAATATTTTGCTTAGAAAGGTACTTTCCATAATCTGATCTTGACAGATTGCATTATACAAAGTGACCAACACTGTAGTCATTATTGCCTGGCATGTCCTGGTATCACCTCCAGAAGCAGGAGCCCTGCCTTCCCTCAGCCTCTCCCCATCGCTCCCTACCACGCGCCACCCCCTCCTTGTGCCCACAGGATGAACTCTGCAGATCCCCTCTGAACCAGTTCTGGGAACTTACCCAAGTCAACATTTTGCAAGGCCAGTTTTCCCCAAGACCAGCTCTCCACTCTGGTTCATTGCAAAGTCTCATTAATGACTGTGCCAGGAATTCCCAACCCCTATCCACACCCTTAACATTACCTGAATTTAAACTTCTATTCCAAAGTCAGATTTCTTTTTTTTTTTAAACAAAAGCACATGCTTTTGACGTGTATACACACACAGAAAAGGACCTTTTTTTTTTTTACACCTGTACAAAGTTCCCATTACCCTCATTCAGTTGTGCATTTAATGAAATTTCTTTTTTTTTTTTTAAATGGGACAGAGTAAATATGTTTAAAACTGTAATAAAACCATCCCTATACAGATCAAGCAGTGAAGTGCAAGTGTTTGAATTCTAGCTGCCCACTCTCAAACAGATTTTGAAGTATTACACGTGTAGATAATGTTACAAAAGACATAGTTTAATTCCCCTTTCTTTATATAACACAAACGTCATATTCTTTTGAATAATATTATGTAAACAAGTAACAATATTTTTTTACCACTAGGTGGTATCAATGCTTGAAAAATTGTTCATTTCTTACCATTTTTTTCTAGTGGACCACAGAGTTTATTCAGATTACTGTCAAAAACTACCTAGATATTACACCTACTCAGATGCCACTTTTAACAAGCCTATTTTACTTTTAATACGTTTAAATGAATATGTAAAAATCTATCAACACATTTCAAACCTTTCTTCAATTGGAACTTAGAGAAATTAAGCACCGTCTTCGACATTAAATACGTCACCAGCCAGGGACAAAATTAGTTCAGAAATTAATCACTTGATTAAAATTACAAACATTAGCTCAATTTGCAATTTATTAAGACATAATCGGAGATGTAAATTCCAGTTTGTCGTTATCCAGTACGTCTGAAGCCAGGTAAGTACTTGCCATTAATCCATACTCCACAGCTACAAGACAAGAAGTAGAAGAAAACAGAACCTCTGACCCTGACTTAGAAATGTCTGTGATCCCAAAATGGTAGAAGTAATTTAAAAAACCATACACACATATATACACATAACATTTATTTTATCAAGGCTCATAAAAGGAGTAAAACCACACACTCTGATGTAAGAAAGCTACGTTAATTTCTACTGCAGAAATAGTTTCAGCAGAACTGCACAGATTGAACTGCAAAACAAAACTTGATTCAGTAAGCTTCAGCATTGTACGTGCTTCAAGAAAAATAATTTCCCCACCATAGTTTTATGTAAAGGTTGGTTAATTCTGAAGTACACAAGCTACCTAAAACATCCACAGTTCTTCCAAGAAAAATCTTGGGACTTTTTGTAAACATTAGTGACATTCAAAAAACCCCAAAGACTTAATTATCCTTTCTAGGAAGATGCCTTTATTGTACGTTTCAATAATAAGCAAAACAAAACTCTCAGCAAAGCTGACCAGAAGACTAAAAATATATTCTGCTGTCTTCTGACCTAGCAGATCTAACTTGCCATCCTTTAGTCTGTCAGATATCCTAATCGTTACTGGGAATTTTTTTCTTGAAAATGCTGAAAATTCTAAGGAGACTTATTTTAAAATGCAAGTGATCAAACACATCTAAGGTACTGCCATCAAATGCTCCAACCAAACCACAGACACAGTGCTTCTCATTAGTGCTTTCTAGTTCACAAATCTTATTTCTGAGAAGACACACCTAAAAAGCCACAAAGAAACTCCTCGTGATCTGTGATCACTGTGCTCTCAATGAACGATAATGGGTTTGGGATGTTTGCGTGGTTTTTTGGGAGGTGCGGGGGGAGAGGTGTGGGGGGGAAAGTGGTGGTGGTGGGTTAGTTTTTTGTTTGTTT